CATATTCATATTTATATATATATTTATATTTATACTTATATTTATATTTATATTCATATATTCATATATTCATATATTCATATCTATATTTATATTTATATTTGTATTTATATTAATATTTATATTTATATTTATATTTATATTTATATTTATATTTATATTTATATTTATATTATACTGATATTTATATTGAAATTATATATATATAATTTATATTTGCATTAAATTTTTAATGTATTAATATTAATTTTATATTAATAATATATTTATAATATATATTATTATGCTTACATTAAATTTTTATTCTATTTATATTATATTAACATTATATTTATGTTATACTTATATTAAATTTATATTGGTGATGTTATATTTATATTAAATAGAAATTATGTTTAAGTTATATATATATTATATTCGCATTATATTTAAATTATATTTATATTATTTTTTCGTTCTATTTATATTATATTTATATTGTACTTTCCTAATGTCCATTTTGTGTTTATATTATATATATATGTTATATTTATATTATATTGATGTTATATTTCAAGTAATGTGTATATTGTACTTACATTATATTTTTAATATATTTGTATTATTATATTTCAAGTTATATATTTATATTTTATATTTATATTACATTTTTAATATATTTATATTATTTTTATATTATTTTTATATTGTATTTATATTATATTTATATTATTTTTGTGTTATACATATATTGAATTTATTTTATATTTATGTTGCATTTACATATCAAGTAATTTATATTTTATATATACATTGTATTATTAATATATTTATATTATATTTAGTTATACTTACTTTTATTTATATTTATTTACATTAACATTTGTATTTACTCACATATATTTTTATTATTTATATATATTATATTTATGTTATATTAATATTGAATCTTATTTTTCTTACATTTTATTTTTATTCTCGTATATATATTATATACATACATGCATATTATATTTATATTATATTTTACTGTACTTACATCTTATTTTCATTATGTTTATATATTTTATTTATATTATATTTATATTAATATTTATTATATTTTATTATATTTTATATATACGTTTTATATATTTTAATGTATTTTTATTTATTTATATTTATTTTATTATATTTTATATTTTATTTATATTTATTTATTTTATATTATATTTATATTTATATTTATATTTATATTTATATTTATATTTATATTTATATTTATATTTATATTTATATTTATATTTATATTTATATTTATATTTATATATTTAGATGTCTGGGTATTATTACCTTATTCGTTATCTTCATTTAGTGATAATTTCAACAGAATGTTGATTTGGTGAAGTAATCCATTCAAATTGATCTCATATGATTCCATTTAATTAGAAGACTACATCAATAAAAGGTGTTTAGTTTTAAATATGGTACCGAAGGTGCAGGATGGTATGATATGCACAGCTTATATGTTAAAAATTTCCTATTAGTTTAGTTATTTTTATTAGTTTTTTCATGAAATTCATGAACCGTGCATATTCTATTCCATAAAAACAAATGGATATTTTATAAGTGCCAATGTGCATACAACGTCTTGAACATGCACTGAAAGAATTATGATGAGAACTTTTGCCATTTTTAGGCACCTTCTGCAGGCTTTGCACTAAGCAACGATCATCGGAGCGCATAAGTAGTATTTCATAGTATTGTTGGCATATATATTAGTGCAGTTGAAGTAGCGCATATAATATTTCATAATAATATTTATGACCACCATTATTCGTATTAACATTTGAGAATCTTTTGTATAGTTCAGTATTAACTACCGTTTGAACCAACAACAAACAAACAGCGGCAAATAGTGGCCAACCGTCGACCAGCTAAATAGCCACAAATAACAAGCGATGGGCAATAAGCAACTACAATTGTTGCACTTAGACGACCCAATGCCCTGCTTGCCACCTAACAGCATTTGACTAGATATTAGTATATTGCAAGGCATGATTATGAGTTGGCGGGCAGAGAAGTGAAAAGCGCAACTCTAGGAAACGCTGCTCATTTGATAGTACATCATCCATACTTGCTTACGTGCGATGGACTATCGCTCCGCTTCGGGCTGTGTATGTGGCAGGCCACTAAAGGGAATTCACATACATAAAATTCATTTAATTCAATAACACCAATTCAAGTGAACGCCATGAAACAATAAATAATGTTATTAATAAATAATAAAGGCAATAAAATGTGCAGTGCTACCTGTTTTAGATGGCAATGCTACCAATTCTACTTATAGTATTCATTGCACAGTCGATAGTTACTACGAATCCGCACATATCGATTATTATTTGTTTGTATGCATGGTAGCGGTTGACTTAAGTTTAACTCCCAAGAGCCACAATCGTTAAAGATGCCAAGGTGCCGGATTTGTGACTTTCAGGATCAACTGCAGTTTTAGGCGCAAAACACTCCGTTTACTTTCCTACTGAACTATTTATGACCGCTGCACTAGCACGGAAATATTTTCCAATTTTTCAGTGGCAACTAAATGCTGCAGTTGCAGGTAACTATTAATATTAGTATGAAGTGGAATATTGTTACCTGAAACGATTTCAATATAAAGACACGCGATTATGGCAACAATACTTCGTTTGCCGGTTGTCATGTTGGTAGATTCTTTGCGGAAGTGTAAGCAAGATTCTGGCCTGGAAGTCAGTCGTTCCCATGTAATGCACCGAAATGCGAAGCCTGCAATGTATACGTGAATGGATATATATTGGTGTACGTCTTTGGATAACTTCACGTTTCGGTTAGTTAATCATAGTAAGTGTTGCAGGTCGTTTAAGTGCGCTATGTATGATTTATAAATAATTTGTATTGGTTTTCGTGAAGAGCGCAATTTCTTACTTCGTCATTCATAAAATTTGTTGAGTTCGTGCTAATAATTTCTTAGTAGATTTTCACAATTTCTGTTGTTAATAATTTTTTAATAACAACCAAGCACGTTTCACAATAAATTAAGACATTTGCAACTGTTCGGAAATCAATTAAGCCAATTAAAGTGCCAAGCACCAATGACACTTGCTGTTGAGCTAATTTAAGCAAATTGCGAGCGTAATTAGTTGCTTTGTCATCGCTTCAGAGTTTGGTGCAATTTCGTTAACATTTTTGCATTCAAATGACACCTCTGCACCAATCACGTTCCATTCGTATTCAATGTCGTGATGAGGAACTCTATATATTTTGTTTTGATTTTTTTGGATCTTTTTGATTTCGTTTGATTTTTATTATAACGCGCACAGATTATAATTTTCTCAATCAAAAATTCATTTATTCCACCCACTCATCTGCACCAGCATCGATAATCTACAAGATTTTCCATACCTCGCAGCGGCAAATTTATGCAGTTCACGTATTGCACCGCTAGTGACACTTCAACGTCAATGATATTTCGTCGGTCTCGTCGGCCTCGTCGATTTTCAGTGTGTCGACTCGAAGACTTGAAGAAGTTCAAGTAACAAATTCTAACGTACATTGCATAAAAAAATGTATTATGCAAAAATATAAGAAAAATAATTATAGTGTGCGGATTGTGGACGTTGAGGAAAAGGTGTAGGCTTTAATGCTCTCAATGATTTGTGGCCCAAGTGTCATTGATTGGTCAGTAACAAAATAAACCGAATGAGAAAATCAAAATCAATTCGGAGCATACAAATTTTAACTAAATAGAAGCAAACTGAAGTTGAGGATCTTAGGAGATAATACATATAATAAAATTCGTTTTATAAACAATATAGCGTATGAGCAAATAATAAAAATTATTATAAACAACTTACAAACTTTGATCATAATTTTCTTAAACAAATGGTTAACCATTATTAATTTAAAAACTGAATTAACCATAATCTTAACTGAAAGAATGATTGGAAACTTTTATTGATTAGTGAGAATTCGGTTATACCAACTACCATATATACTCGTACTCGTATAAGAAATCATAAGAAGTAAAAAAATTCAGTTGGTAGTAGAGATTTTTAGTAGAGTCACTGCATCCTTTGAGGATGATTGTGACATACCTACTTTAGTTCCATAGACGAGTAGCAGTTAAGAAACCCATTATGTCCTTTGGAGAGACTTAACATATATATTAAAAAGTGATCAAGTGATTTTTTTTGATTCTTAATTCTGATATTTATGACATTTTTATAACTAAATAATTTCATATAAACCTTGGGTTATTTTACAAATCTGATTGGCAAGTAACAATTTTCCGAACTTTTCCGCACATATATGTTCGTATTTCACCAATGATATATTTAAAAGTGATTATGAGATTATTGATTGTGTTTAGTTTATAAGAGTACATGAAAGAATTGGCCAAAGAATTTGACAACTGTCACTATACTCATTTAGTACTGGCCACAAAGCCATTGACACGAGCTATAGGTTTTATGCAGTTGGTCACTGTTGACCATCTTCTCCTAAACATCCGGTGTACTCATAATATTATTAGATACTGACAGGAAGCAAGTGGTATACCCACACTTTCTTTTCCCAGAAGAATTTGTACCATGTCTTGCTAATGCATCTGCTATACAGTTGCCTTGGATGTCCCTGTGTCCAGGGACTCAAATAATCCGTATCCGAAAATATTTAGCCATCACCATGAGTGATGTAAAATAATTCAGTACCAACCTCGAGTTAATAGTCGATAAATTTAAAGATTTTATAGCTGCCTGGCTATCAGTAAATATGTTTATAAAATTACGGAGGAAACATTGTGTTTCAGTCAATCTGAAACTTCCAATATAGCAGATACTGTGATGTCTGTGATACACTGTGCGATGTCTCAAATGGAATATTTCATGTAAACAATCAAAAAAATTTGATAATAAAGTTGTGTTCTACTGTAGTCCAATAAATATTTCTATAATTAGGAAACTAAAATAAAATTAAAATTTGCAGAAAAAATTCAAAAAATTTTCAACCAAATCAAAATTTATTAAAACTAAAATTTAGAGTCCGAAAGTTACCCAAAAACGTTTGTAAAAAATAAAATCCATAACACTAAAGAATGTCTAATCCATAATCGGCGGACATGTATTCAGCTGTCATATTCCATAATACAAATAAAATCCATAATACTAAAGAATGTCTAATCCGTAATCGGCGGACATATATTCAAATGTCATATTCCATAATATTTTGCCTCACTAACTTTCTTCCTTTGCGTATTTCTTCAGTACAGAGTGTGGCTAAATTTTTAGAAAAAAGAAGAAAACTGTTAGTAAAAATAAAGTTTATTAATTCACTGTATTTACACACCATTTGAAGACATTCCTTTTTCATTATAAAATCATCAAAACAATAAAAAAATGCTCCAGCAGGTGCGCTAGGTAGGTCCATTATACACTCATATCTTGCAAACTTCAAAACAGTTTTGCAAAGCGTTTTCCGGTCTAAAAAATATTCTTTAGAGTTGATACCAAAAAAATTTTTGGAAAAGGACAATATCAAAAAACATCTAATAGAAATTATTTTATGGTTCATCGGTCTGCGAATGCTTGTGTTTCACAGAAGTTAGGATATTCTAACATGGAGAAGATTACTTTGGATGAATGAAGTTATTACTAAGAGACATAATTAGTCAATTAATTGTATTTCTGATATTAAGTCAAATTTACTTCAAAAACGGTCAATAATTGTTTGTTGAATGTAATCATTGATTAATTACAGATAGTATTAAAGTACAGATAATAAAACTTATAAATATGTATCAGAAGAAAATTTGGCGAAGTGATCAAAACTACAACTAAGTGTTCTTATAGAAAGGCCGGGTTTACGTCCCGAAGCCATTCGTCGCCAGCCGAGTACCAAGTACCGTTCGACACCTCCCAAAAGAACTTCACAAGTAGATCTCTGCGGGTTACAACAAAAACTCAGAATTTTTATTGCCAGGTGGATGTTTTAGAGTTAAAATGCAAAGTAAAATTAAATCTGAATACTTTGAAAGAAAGAATCAGAAAGATGGATATTCAGTGGTATACGAAGCAGTTATTTTATTATAATCAGATAAAAATTTGAATATAATTTGTTCACGAGTTAACCATTAAAGCATAATCTTATGCAACCAACATTCAAACAAACTTCAATAAATTTTTAATAATTTGATATCCATGAACTTATGGTTAAATTATCATATTATCATTATCATATTATCCAGATTCGTCAGTAGGTTATAATAAAACTTTTTAAAAAGTGAAGTAATATATGGCGAAGATTTCTGATATATAAAATATAATAGACTGATTGGCATACCATTATTATGGCCTTGTATTTACATACCTTACTGATAAGTACCCATGACCCATATCCATACCCAATTATACTCACTTTACGTTGGCCATATTGGGCTAAAACCATTGCAGTTTAAGTAATACATCTGTGTCGGTTCTATTTCTAGTTCATCAGAGTGTCGTCACAAAGATTGATGGATCTTTACCAATTCATATCTCATCACTTTTCACATTAAAATAGCATAGATAGTGTCCGTTAACTCCATGTAAGTTGTAATATTCTTAACAAACCACTTTAATATAAAATAACAGAAGAAAATCGTCATTGTTTTAATAAAAGAAATGAAAATAACTTAGATTAGATTTAGTTTTCAACTGAAGTTATGGAAAAAAGATAATCAAGATAAATACATTATAGATAAGTGCAATTATTGACTTTTATTCACCTACCATTTATATGGTATCTATTTTTCCATTGAAAAAAAGCGGATCTGATTTGCACTCTGAACAGATGTTTGTGTTCATAATTATTCACTTTTTACTATGCCCTATTAGTTCCGAATAAGATACGAATAGGTAGTCATCGCATGCAAGTGATCGATGTAGGGATTTCAAGTTACATCATTCCATTTTGTCACTTCTCTCTGTAGAACCTTTTCAATCTTAGTCCAGACATAAGAGTTTTATATGTCAGAATGGAGTGCGAATATAACGTATAATAAAAAAGTATTATTACATTATTCTTAAGAATACATAATTATACTCACTTTGATTTATTACATCTCATTTCTTCATATTTTTTTTGGAAATCGGACGCTTTAGTTTTTATTTCCAAAAAACAGATTTTTCAGAAATCCACAAACAGATGACTTCTTAACAGGTTCTGATGCAGAAGGTGTGGGTTCGTTGGCTGGTGCACCGCTATTGTTTTCTTGAGCTAAGGCCTAAATTGAGACAAAATAGACAAAGTTTTCATTTTAGAGATATTATATACATATATATAATAACATATGAGAATATATTAGCAAGTAAAGTTGGTTAAAATAATATTGAATAAAAGATTGTTATTGACATACTGATTTGTAAAATGTGAAGATGTCTCAAGTTCATTATTTCACATATGGAAATGACTAAAATCTGACCTTTATGAATATCGTTAAAATTTCTACTAATCAACTTATAAAAATTTTATAATCCATTAAATTAGTGATTGTTTTATAGATGTGGAACTTTGAATTGAAGTTTTCATTTATATTGCATAAGCATGAAAATCTGGTTAGATGAGGATTCGAACTGGGTTGATTTCCTTCGCTTTGTATGAGAAGTCGCGGTTCATGCATAATATCTTTAGAACTTCTACCTTTGAGGTGATTTTTTGCGTCTGTCACACTGATAATATCTCATCCGAAGCCATTATTTATGCTTAAGTCGAATTCGGTGCATAAAGCTGCCACTTAAACATAACCTTATTTTTGATTTGTCAAATATCAAATCCAGCGACCCACATATCGTTATAGTATTTTCCAAGTATAGCATGTGTAAGACACTTTCAAGATGTCAATTATGCAATTCATAGTTAATAGCTCTGGAGAAAATATAAGCACATTGCACACGATTTGAAATCGGAATATAGTGTACAGGCTCGTAATTTAAGGTATAACACATTCATTGTATTAATAATAAACTAAAGCATTTCATTACCTCTGCTCTCTCCTGCTCTTCCTGCAAACGCTCCTGTTCCCGCATTTTCATATAAATAATATGTTTTCTGACCATCGACAACCGGCGCGCCATTATGGTTTATTTTTCTTAGACAGAACTGACATTAAATTTTGAAAGAAAAGTAAATATTTAATAGCCAAAGAGAATTTGAGTTATGATGTTGAAAAAATATATATATGATTTTTACATTAAATTTCTTTTACTATTTAAACAAACTCAATTATTTGAAAATATTTAGCCTACTGATTTGTTTTTCAATTGAATACTGGAATATTTTATATATTATTTACATTAATCATCATCACTACGACTTGACATTCGTTTTCATCCCATCTCCAGAAATCTGTTCGGTTCAGTCATTGACCGATACTTTAATTATGAGTTCAAATTAAAAATATTAATTCCAGTTGAGAATTGAAGTACCTCTGAAATAATGAGATGCCATAACAGTCCATTTTAATCCAGTAGTGTTGATTCTCGGGAATAACTCAGCGTTACCTCTTTCTACTTACCCATAGCCATATCAAAATTAAGAAAAAGTTATATACTAAGAATTACTATTTTTTACTTTAAAGATCTAAAAGCTTTCGACATTTACCAAAAAAGTGAAATGAAAAGATGACAAAGATGCACCTTTACGGTGGTATTGTCAAAAGAATCAATTAGTCCGTCATAATCATAATTAAATAAATAAATGAAAACAAATAATAAAATTTGTGATCAAAATACCGTATAAAAGAATGAATGAAGTACACTTTTATGTTTAAATAAGCGATTATTTTGTTTCACACTAATATTTAAATCTGGGGTTTAAGGAAACTATGCAATTTCGGGATTATTTCCGATTTAGAGAGGCGACCGCTTACTAAGCCAAGCTTACTCTCTACCATTCGAATAATTTGCTCTCATATTGAGAAGAACTCATCTTTGAAAATCAAGATAAAAGTTTTAAAACGAAGTGTTCACTGGGTAGATTATCAGCTTCCGAAAAAATATGTAAAGACTATATTCTATAAAGACTTTCACTTTATTTAGCTTTGCCTGCATATAGAAAAAGTTCCAGTCCAATGTAGTTATGAAACCAGATGTCCATCAAAGGAACATTTTTATATTGACTTTAATTTTTATTATTAGCCGTAAATTTTGTTGTTTCTAAAAAGAACGGAACATGATCCTCCATAGATCGTACGCGAGACCAGAGGCGAGGCGTCGAATGGTTCAGAGTGTTCACTGAACACCTTAACAAAGCTTCCTTTTTAGATTTTTTTTTTATTAGGTAAATAATCTCGCTATATTGCTACTTAACATTTTTTATAATAGCTTTTCCAAACAGATTAACATAAACACAAAACGTAGAATACAAACAAAATCACACATGTGTTAGTTACACCCAACATTACTTACAATTAATAAAAGAGAAAACACATTCCTCTTAAAATATACTAAGGTTCAAAATTAAAACTGCACCGCGTTGCTTACAAAGCATGCAAATGAAATAACATTCACATTGGGACTATGTTCAATATTGAATACACAACAGAAAACATACAAACAAATATATATACGTAAAATAATCTTAACTCTTAAATTAATGCGTGCAAGCAGTTCAATAAAAAAAGTGCACTTCCAATGTTATGCAAAGTAAATACAAAAGAGAAAAGAAATAACTGAGCGAAAATCGCTTTACATTTGACGAGAGGATCATTCCACTAAACTGAACCAAAAGTTTATACAAAGCGTGCAAATACAATCAAAGTCACGGTTGCTGTTTTATATGGGGAAATGGTTCAGTATAAAAACTGAACCGGGCATTGTAAATACAAAGTAAAAGAGTAAATGAATGCATGAGAGTTTCTTACTCTTATATAGAGGTTGGAAATAAATCAATAACAAAGTCATTATTGCAATTTAATACTAGCAAATGGTAAAAGTAAAGAAAAAAATTAAAGAAATTTGAAGTGAAAAATAATATTTAGAAATGAATTAATGTGTGATTAAAGATTTGATTCAAATATCTTTTTTTTAACGATCTTCTGAAAAAAAGATTTTAATTCATAAAATGAATAAACCAACTCCAGATATGAAGAATTTGATACCTGTTGTAAAAATGTCGAAATCTATGGTAAGTCGTCGTTTTCCTACAGCTATAGCTTTATGGTAAATAAAAACCAGTGGATCACAGGCTGCTTGCAACAATAAATTGTTTTATTGGTCTTGTACGCTATTTGCTTGTGGAAAGGACAAAACTTAGAAGTAGGGGGAATACGTTATAGTTGGAATTCTGTTTTGATTAAATTGTGAACACCTTGCCAAAAAGCTGACGCCTCGCTACTGCGCGAGACGTATATTCATTGGATATAAAGCTTATTAGTAAAATAACTGAAATTCTCGTTAATTCAATCATTTAATATTATCATTTTGATCAGTTCTTATTTATTTAGAATTATCTTATTAAAGAAAGTAATGATATATCAATAACTTATTTACGTTTTAGCAGCTTCGTATCTAATTTGCTTGGAATTTGGAAGATATTTGGTTTATTACATTCTCTACATTGAATTTATTAAAGCCACTGAGGAGGAATGGAGTTTTTTTTTCTTGCAGATTCTAAACAAAAAGAGAAAGTTTAATCAATAACTTAATTATGATATGAACTCAGAAAGTGTGATGTCAATATCGATGTGAAGCCTTCCACAATCTTTCCACTGGGTTGTGAAGAAGGTGTGTTTAGATGTAACGACTGATAATATATCATTAAATATATGGCGGGCTATTATTATTATTTTTTGAAAACTAAACCTATTTAGAAGTGACTGTAATGCTATACGCACATATAGGTATATATGTACTTTTTTTTTGAATGATTATTGAAACAGGCATGACTTACAGTAAAGGCAGTCAATTCATTTCAATCTCTTTTTCTAACTATCAGATACTAATAATGACTTTAAGTATAAAATTGCAATTGTTTCAAATAAGAAATCGCACAAGAACCCATTTTCTTAATCTTGAATATTCATAAATATTATAAAATCGCGGATTACCTGGTGAGTGAGTGGTGGTTTTGTATTATAATAACGAACAACTTGAAATAATAGAATTTATTAGGAAGTAATAACTGTAATAATAAGAGTTAATAATACTCAGTATTTTATTCAATTGATGACATTATAATAAGAGCTTGTGATTTGTTTTGTTGTCATAGGTTTTACGAGCACATTACCTTTTTTTTGTCTCATTGTAATATAGACCTACAGGATCCAGCTCCTTAATGTACTTTAATTTAAAAAAATGGCATCTAATTTTTGCATTGGGTTTTTTTTAATTATAGCTGAAATCGTCCATTATGATCGCTATAGCCACTTGATAAACAATTTCTATTGATGTGAGATTGAGGATGTGAATGTAAAATATATGTGACTTTTATAAGCTATATGCCACAGACAATATAGTTCGATTTTAAATTGACAGTACTACGTAATAAATTTTTTGGATGTGTATTTGCAGGTTCTGTTGATGTGATATGACTAACAAGATCATACGACTTGTTACAACTGGACAATTGGAATATACATAAGTTTATGTATAATATTGTCTTTGTAGTTCTTATTTGTTGCCCTATCCGTGAGTTATTTTTATCACTTCCTCCGTGTCAAGTTTTTGTTTTCGTAGCAACTGGTTTTTTTCTAGAGAAGACGGTCGAGCTGTCCTTTGCAACTATTTTAGTGAAAAAAAATTGTTTGATTATATACTATTACGATCCAATAATAATGCAGCTGATCTGCAGCTTTTCGTCTATTTTGAAGAAGTAACATTCTTGAATTGAATACTATATCGACACATCTTTTGCGCTGCGTACTTCCTCCTCTAATAGATTTCTTTGGATATGGGAGCCGTGATACGTGCTGACAAACAATTTTGAGAAAGAGACTATATGAGATTTAAAATAATATACATATATTTCAGTCTTACTACTTAATTTTAAGCGCAAAAAAGATTCAAGAAAGATTTTTGAAAACATTTTATTAAATTTTTATTAATTAATTAATAATATTTATTAAATTTTTATTATAAAAAGGAGTTAAAGATTTTGATATTCAAGAAAACTTTTAGTGAATGTTTAGGATTCAAGCCCCTTCAAACTAAGTATCCTTAAAAATTAAAATTTTTTTTTTATACTAAAAAATGTAGTTCCTTTTTAATGTTTAATAAGCTTTTAACGTGTTTTCGATCTTCAAAAAGGTACTTGACATACAATCATCATAAATTAAAGCTTCAATTTATTAAATTTGTACATTTTCAAAGGAAAATATATATGTGAGGTATAGATAAGCAATAAGAAGACTTTCATGGCATATGAGTGTATGATTTTAATCAGATTTTCATTTTAGTCTAAAGCTAATGATGTTTTTTAATTAATATTTGTCATTATATCCTTCTGAAATACGTCGATGTTGAAATATTTTGATATACACTCAGTGTGTTTTATTTGGTTTTGTTTTCAGCTCATACTTGTCCAGTTCCCTTGAAAGCTTCGAGATTATTTCGTTCATGCTAATCACATTAGCGATTAATGATATTAAATATGATAGTAATCGATATACTGTCTTATTAACTGAGTCTGCACTCCTAACCACCACAACGGCAATTGTAACATATCAGCAGATTATACTAAATCGCTAATTTACATATAAAGTTCAAAATTCTTAACATTTCGAGCTATTTTATTAAGCCAAAATCCGGAGCCTTCCAAAACAAATAAGACGCGAATAAGCTACGAAAACGTGTGCTAATTTACATGATCGCATCAACAATAGACGTTCAACAAAGCTAGTCTAAGAAAAGCTAAATCAAATGTGATACACCAACATATGCTCAGAAGGAGCCAATAATGAAGAGGATATCGCAAACTTATGATCACAAAACTACGAAGAAAAAAAGAGCTGTGGTGGCTCAAAATGTAACGTTACCAACGGTGGAAGTGAGGCGAACAGTGTGCGACAAAGCATACGAAGCAATCGAAATATACGAAATATACGAAGTTTTGGTGTGCGATTTTTTCATTTGCTTATGAGTGTAACATACGATCGATCGGTCGATCGGACGATCGGACGATCGGGCAGGCGGTCTGTTAAATGGTCATTTGGGTCGCTCATAGTGCAGTGGCAAGTGACACAAGTGCAGATTAGCAATATAAGTTTGAGAAATGAACGAGCGTTTATATGTATCAACTAGCATACACACAGCCCGCACTCCAGGATACCGATCCGCCGGTGAGCCAGTGTACGCGACTGCTAAAATATATAATATCAGGTAGCGCACACAAGTGTCCAGTGACGACAAGATATGAGCTATTTCGAAGTCACGTTTTATTTAAATTATTATTATTTTTTATATCGAATCTTGTGTGCTGCCTCTTTGTGCATTGTAGCTGTTTGGTCAAATATATCTTTACGGCTATAACTGGCAGAGTTACCTTATGCTCACATCGGCAAAAGCTTGTGATACCTAAATGAAGCTCAGTATGCGCTTTCCTCTGCTGCACAGCTACGTGGCTACGTTGCTACGTTGCTATGATGCGACAGAAGCACAGTTGCTGGCATTGTTATCCATGCGGCATTACGTTCAATGCTACTGTGCCTGCCGATGTGTGCGTTGGAATATATGTGCCATGCCTACCACCCGTTGGCATACATGAGATGCACTGCGACAACTCCAAATATATGAAAATCACAAGAAATCAGCAAATGTTAAATGTTCCCGTAGAATGCGCTGCTTTTGTCAACGCTTCCAAATAATCATAATCATAATAATGATAATAACAATAAAAATATATAATAAAAATAAGTATAAAAATTAATAAAAAAAATAAAAATTAAATTGATAAACTGTAAATAGGAAATAGTTCAGTCCATAAAAACAGTTGGGCTTCTACTAAAACAAAATAATCAATTTGATTTTATGTTTTCGGTTTTTTCCGATAACAATGAACCTGAGTTGAGGAGACACGTCCCCAACTAGCGATGTGTGTGAGTGCGTCTATTTTATGCCTTTTTCTTATTTTATTTGATTCTATTATTACACATATTTAAATATTTTTTTTTTTAGTTTTTTTTTTCGTTTCTATGATAAGACATTTGCATAAAATTTATATCTAAAATACTGTTAAACCCCATAAAGTATCGCTCAATCAGTGCCAGCAAACGCGCACAATAGCCTGCCACTGTCTGCAGCCGATTACTGTGGTTCCGAGTGTGGAGCACTTTATTCCCAATACCCAATGCCCAGTGCCCAGTGCTAAATTCGGAATACCCAGTGCGCATGCGTAAACGCATAATTTAGTTTTAAATAAACTGAAATGAGGCGGCACAAAATGATAGTTTAATAACAAATTATAAGTGGACGTTGCCTTTGATATTGTTACAGATTTTAATTTTTATGGATCATCAATAAACAATCAATGGAAACAACTTTAACGAAAATAAGATTCAAAAAAAATAATAAAAAAGGTTGTCACAATGCTTTAGAGTGGAGAGCTACGTTACCACTAATAAGTGACTTAATAACAACACAATGAGAACATGTACATTATTTAGAACTTTTATTTTTTTGTAGATAAAAAAAGGTAGATCCAATGATTATATAAAATGCTTTAGAAAATATATAGACCTTTCCTTTTACGAAAAAAAGCATTAGCCGATAAAAAGATGTACCGGTATCCTGAATTACATCCACGCTTATAATCTAAAGAAAATATTCGATATACTAAAAAGACAAGTTGAAAACAAGATTATGTTAGTCAATAACTTTATTGATTGATGTCTTAACTAACAAAACAATCCATTTGACAAAAAAAAGATGTAAAGATGCACCGGTATCCTGAATTGCATCCACGCTTATAATCTAAAGAAAATATTCGATATACTAAAAAGTTGAAAAGAGGATTTTCGTTCTGTTAATCGATAACTTAATTGATTGATGTCTTAACTAATAAAACGATCAAATTTCCCAAGAAAAACAGATGTGAAGATGTTCAGGTATCCTGAATTGCAACCACGCTTATAATCTAAAGAAAATATTCGATATACTAAAAAGACAAGTTGAAAAGGATTTTTGTTCTATTAATCGATAACTTAATTGATCGATGTCTAATTAATAAAACAATCAATATGAATCTTATGCCAAATATCATAGTGATATGAATAACGCAACTAATATTGATTATTGGTATATTGGCTATCAAATAATATTTTTTACTCCCTATACTAGAGATGTAAATCATCACTTTCTTAATCATTATTAACGAGTGTCTCAAACTGAAAACTACTGTGTCATTAATTCACATTATCAAAGAGGGATTAGTGTTTTAATTGTGATAATTTAAGTATTTAAAATTAAATAAATACTTTTTGAAATAATAAAGAGCTTTTCGTTACAGCTCCTTTTGATTACACCTCGTATATCAAAATGCTGCACCATTGGACCTTTATTCCATACGTACTAAAATTTTCTCAATAAAAAATGATCATTATCTGACAATTTCCATATAACACATTAAAAATCCTGAAAATATCCACCTACAATT